ATTAAGACTTATTTGGGCACTGTTTCCAGATGGGCCTACATCTACACGGACCTTTATTTATTAATGTATACACATGTGTTGTTGTGAGATCCTGATCTGTTATAAAGGAGTAGCTTTCTTCTCCTGCGCTGCCTGCCTATCCTCATAAACAAACAGTCAAATCTGTGACTCAGTTTTCCTTTACTATAAGTTCCTGCTTGATAACTCAGGGCATTGAGACCCAACTAACAAAGCTGCAGGATGTAAGCACAGTGAAGCCAGAGGCATGTTTTTAAAGAAGATTTGGGTGTATTGTGTGGGGGCCTATTAATGTTAAACAAGATTATGAAGTAGAAACATAGTTCAGTTGTTTGTTTTTAGGTGCCGTCGAGTCACTTCCAACTCATAGCAACCCTACATACATAATTCAGAGGACATTTTAAAATAAATGTGAAACTGTAAAGAAAGTTGTCTCTTTCTATGTTACTGTGGGCCTCTAGGACCCTTGGGCTTTTCCTCTACTCTCACATAAAGGAATATTTGGAAAAAATATATACAAATTGCTCATATGCAAATCAGTGTTTCTTAAGGCAAAATGAAATATATTTCCTTTTTTTGCCTTTTGTTTTTTATTTTTCGCTTATCTATCCTGTCCTAGAGTATAAGTTGCCATTGGTTATAACATCCACAGTTGTTTTTTTTTAAAAGAACGAATTAAACTTTACTGCTAGTAAACTGTGACAATCAGTTGGTCATACCAGCCTCTTGTTGCTTTGAAATTTCTTTCATTTGTTCCAAAATATTTGGCAATTTCTCCTGTCTTCACTGGCATAGCTTGGTGTACGATAGGCAGTACTTTTGCCAGTTTCTCAGTTACAAAACAAAAATAGCTCCATCTTCTTATGGCTATTTCTTTTCTTCTTACAACCTGTAAAGCATTTAGTCACTGTTTTGCAAGGAAATATGAAATTGCAGTCACTCATCCAACAGTGAATATTTGCTTCACTAATATCAAATGTATATACCTTGCTACTCTGTTTCTGTTCCTTTCTTATTTACGAATGAATGTTTTGTTTCAGTGCCAAATCATAGAAAAATCACTTTGAAGACATTTTAATTGTCAATTAAAGTCAACATGCATAGTGCACATAATTCAGTTAAAGGGATGACATTATGAATAGCTGTGATCAAAAGATGTTAAAATTGGAAGGAAAAAATTATGTATCTTAGAATCAAAATCTTACAATAGGAAAACATGAATTTTAGGATTGAAATATGCATCTTTTCTCTCAAAAATTTCCTGTAGTTTAATCAGGCATTGCATTGCCTCTTGCCTAGAATCTCTCTTAAAATTCATAGTTCTTAACCTGTTCTCTAGATCCTATGATTTGCCCAGGCCATAGAGAGGACTCATCAGTAATCCTTAGATTTTTAATGAAATATGTTTCATTAAACAACAAACTAGTGAAAGAATGTTAGACAGAGAATTGAGAGACCTACTCTGCCACCAATTCACATATTTACTTAGGAGCTCCGTTTCCTCACCTGTTAAATTATATTCTTGGTTAAATCAGAAAATTTCAGCCCTAGCTACACTTTAGAATCACTTGGGCAGCTTTTAAAAAATGTTGAAGTGGGTTTTCACACGGCTTGGTCTCACCCCAGACCAGTTAAATCAGAAACTCTGGGCATGAGGGGCAGGTACCAGCATTTCTTAAAAGTTCTTCAGCTGTATCTAATGTTCTGTCATGGGTCAACCGCTCAGGAAGATGATCTCTAATGCTCCTTACATTTTACATGAGAGATGTTGTTAGTTGCCATCAAGTCAATTCTGACTCATAGTGACCCTGTGTACAACAGAATGAAATGCTACCCAGTCCTGTGCCATCCTCACAATCATTGCTGTCTTTGAGCCCATTTTTGCAGCTACTGTGTCAGTCCATCTCATTGAGGGTCTTCCTCTTTGCTGACCCTCTACTTTATCAAGCATGATGTCCTTCTCTAGGGACTGATCCCTTCAGATAACATGTCCAAAGTATGTGGGACAAAGTCTCACTATCCTCTCTTTTAAGGAGCATTCTGACTGTACTTCTTCCAAGACAGATTTCTTCCTTCTTCTGGCAGTCCGTGCTATATTCAGTATTCTTCGCCAACACCATAATTCAGAAGCATCAATTTTTCAGTTTTCCTTATTCATTTTCCAGCTTTCACATGCATATGAGACGATTGAAAATACCATGGTTTGGGTCAGGTGCACCTTAGTCCTCAAAGTGGCATCTTTGCTTTTTAACACTTGGAAGAGGTCTTTTGCAGCAGATTTGCCCGATGCACTATGTCATTTGAACAACAACATAAGAGATAATGTAGTAAAATGGTTAAGGTCAGGCTCTGAAGTCACTGACCTGGGTTTAAATCCTGACTGCTACATATTATTAGCATACCATAAGATTTGCTGTGGTAGAAAATAGATGATGATGATGATAACAATAATAATAATAGCAGTCTACATTTATTGACTGCTTTGCTTGGCATGTTCCAGCCACTGGTCCTAAATGCTTTACAGGTACCATTTCAAGGAATCCCCACAATAGCTTTTTGAGATAACAACTGTAGTTCTCATTTTACAGATGAAGAAAGAGAGCTTATATAAAGTTAAGTAATTTGGCCAAGTTCACACAGCTAGGAAGTGGTGAAGGTCAGATTTAAATCCAGGGAGTCTGGCTCCATAGTCTTACTCTTAGAAATCAAATATGTCAGTGTGACAGGGGAGAGATAAAGTCCTTAAAACTTCGGTCAAGCAATCAGACATTAGGGCGATGGTACACTCTTTTGAAGTTGAACTGAAAGTTTATGGACCGCAAAATCTGATGTTAGGGAGTATCTTAGAGTTTTACAGGTAAAAAGAACAAAGGGAGGGAAAGGTTTTAATTTTTACAGTCCTACTATCACATACCAGAAAGACGTTTACCTGTGTTTTATTGACTATGCAAAAGCATTTGACTGTGTGGATCACAACAAATTATGAATAACATTGCAAAGAATGAGAATTCCAGAACACTTAATTGTGCTCATGAGGAACCTGTACATAGATCAGGAGGCAGTCATTCAAACAGAACAAGGGGATACTGCATGGTTTAAAGTCAGGAAAGGTGTGCATCAGGGATGTATCCTTTCACCATACCTATTCAGTCTGTATGCTGAGCACATAATCCAAGAAGCTGGACTATATGAAGAAGAATGGGGCGTGAGGATTGGAGGAAGACTCATTAACAACCTGTGTTATGCAGATGACACAACCTTGCTTGCTAAAAGTGAAGAGGACTTGAAGCACTTACTGATGAAGATCAAAGACTACAGACTTCAGTATGGATTGCACCTCAACATCAAGAAAACAAAAATCCTCACAATGGACCAATAAGCAACATCATGATAAACAGAGAAAAGACTGAAGTTGTCAAGGATTTCTTTTTACTTGGATTCACAATCAACACCCATGGAAGCAGCAGTCAAGAAATCAAACCAGTGATTTGCATTGGGCACATCTGCTGCAAAAGACCCCTTTAAGGTGTTGAAAAGCAAAGATGTCACGGCGCGTCTGACCCAAGGCATGGTGTTTTCAGTCGCCTCATATGCACGCAAAAGCTGGACAATGAATAAGGAAGACTGAAGAAGAATTGACGTCTTTGAATTGTGTTGGCGAAGAACGTTGAATATACCATGCACTGCCGAAAGAACGAACAAATCTGCCTTGGAAGAAGTACAACCAGAATACTCCTTAGAAGCAAGGATGGCGAGACTATGTTTCACGTACTTTGGACATGTTATCAGGAGGGGTCAGTCCCTGAAGAAGGACATCATGCTTGTTAAAGTAGAGGGTCAGTGAAAAAGAGGAATATCTGAACGAGATGGATTGATTGACACAGTGGCTGCAACAATGGGCTCAAGCATAACAAGGATTGTGAGGATGGTGCAGGACTAGGCAGTGTTTCTTTCTGTTGTACATGGGGTCACTGTGAGTCAGAATCCACTCGATGGCACCTAATACAACGACAACAACTATCAGATAAGGAACCCTGGTGGCGAAACAGTTAAGCATTCTGCTGCTAACTGAAAGGTCGGCGGTTCAAACCCATCAGCTGCCCTGTAAGAGAAAAGACCCGGCAGTCTGTTCCCTTTAAGATTACAGCCTAGGAAACCTTACTGGGCAATTCTACTTTGTTGTATAGGGTCGCTGTGAGTTGGAGTTGACTCAACAGCACCCAACAACACTATCACTTATGTGAAACCATTGGGTTTCCTTAAGAAGGCAGTCATAGAAGATAAAGTGAATAACTTTCCAGGGTCCCGCAGTTCACAGGTGGTTTTCCTCATATGCCTATTTGTTGTCCTGACAACACAGGGTTTCTTTGAGTTCAGAAGCATTCACGTCTAATTGATTCCCTAAATCAGATTTAGCCAGAAACTAGATGCACAGTGGGCTAAAGTGTTTGAAGGAAAATCTGTCAGTCAGCTAGGAAGGTGGGAAGTGGGTTTCAAAGAAAAAATTCAAAATGTTCTGAGCTCTGTTTGGTGAGCCAGTTTAGAATGACTATATTCTTTTAATCTTTTTGTTGAAATGAGCTTGTTCTTTCTAACGTAAGTCAGCATTTCGCAGTCATTACATATCGCCTATACTGGAAAATCAGAGGCTGGTAGAGCTTTAGAAGGTATTAAAGGAGCAGTTGTATTCTTTTGAAAATAAACCAGATGATTAACTTAATCTGTTGCTCAGAAACACAGGCAAAGAAGAATCCGATTGTACTTTCAATTTTTTAATCTTTTGCCATATCATATAGCAGGCTAGAAAACGCTGAACTTGTGAGGGAAATAGGCTATTCATTGAACCTTCCAAAGTCATTAGTAACTTAAGAACTTGCTGTGCCTTTCCTTAAAAATAAATGTTTTGTTATTTTCTGAGTGGCAGGGAAAAGCCCTTTGCTGTCATGGAAGCTTTGATTTTAATGATCTTTCCCTCATTTTAGGTATTGCTTGGATGACCGAAAAGCTTTAGAAAGAGATGGGGGATTTTCTGAACTTCAATCTCGTCTTATTCGTTATGAAACTCAGACTACCTGCACCAGAGAAGGTTTTCCAATACCAACTGTGTTGAGCCCTCTTCCCTCTCCTGCTGTTTTGTCAGAGCCTGGAAGTGTTCCTGACGGAGAAGCTTTACAAAGTGAACTCCGAACTGAAGCCTCCCGATTGAAACGGCAATCAAAGGACCGGAATTGCCTTTATCCCAAAAAAAGGTGATATATTAAATGCACAAAAATAGTATCTTGACAGAAAGCATTTTAGTCTCTAGAGTAACTTCCTTTTCATATTAGTCTTTGTCTTAGTTATCTAGTGCTGCTATAACAGAAATACCACAAGCGAATGGCTTTAATACAGAAATTTATTTTCTCACAGTTTAGGAGGTTAGAAGTCTGAATTCAGGGTGCTGGCTCTAGGGGAAAGCTTTCTCTCTTTGTTGGCTGTGGAGAATGGTCCTTGTTTCTTCTGAGCTGCTCCTGAGCAATCTTCATGTGGCTTGGCATCTCTCTCCCCCATCTCTGTCTGCTGGTTTGTTTAATCTGTTTCATATCTCAAGAGATTGACTCAGAATACACGCTATACTAATCCTGACTCAAGATACACCCTACAGTAATCCTGCCTCATCAACATAACGAAGACAGCGTATTCCCAAATGGGATTGTAACCACAGGCATAAAGGTTAGGATTTGCAGTACATATTTTTGGGAGACATAATTCAATATTAAGTTGCTTTCTGGATAGTTAAATTCCTACATAGCAGGAGTTTTGTTTTTATTGTATAGAGTTGATGAATTTTTTTTCTAAGTTATAAAAAAGAGATGACTTGGAAAAAAAAATTCACCCTTTCTCGCTTTATATGCTAATACACAGTCCATTCGCACAATGGATTGTAAAGTTTTTAAGCCATTGAACAACTGAAATCTTACCCAGTAGATTAAGCAAATGAGCTGCTCTGTAAAGAGAGTGTTTGGTGATGGCAGTTCTGTTAGCTTTTTCTTCCTTCTTCTCTCACAGCTTGCTGCTTTGCATTGGCCCCTTAAGGGGTTTCATGAGGCACCATTTTAAAACCACTTGTTACATATAAAATATAGCCTTGAAACCTACACAGTAATCTATTATGTCAAACTTTTCTAGATACCTTTTTATTATTTTTTTTTTTGCTAGCGAAATAAAATGTTCAAAGGCTTGATTAGAAGTTAGAAATATGTGAAATATGCACTCTAATTTCTACTGAATTTATATATCTTTAGAAACTCCTTCAAGTTTAAGTCCTTGCCATTTAAAGCAAGGCTTAAATTCTTATTACATTACTTTAAACCTTTGAAAAAGTATGAAATATGTGAAAATGAAATTTTGCTATCTTTTTTTTTTTTGAAAGTTAAAAGTATTAGAATACTATTTCTGTGATGCAGAAGAACTAAAATATTTTCTCAGGGACTTTATAAATTTAGGGTGCTCTTTATACCTGATAAAGCAAAAAAGCAAATCCCTTAACATTTGGGATACTGTATTTTGTAACTGCATTCTTTATTTCTGACCTGTGACTAGTAAAAAGATGTAGGTGTTCTAGAAAAGAAAGTGCACTGTGATCTATGGGTTAGCAGAATGAAGGCTGTAAGACCCTATCTTGTAAAAGCAAACATGTTTAAAAGATTGAAATAAGAACATGTTTTATAGTTTTAGTTATATTTGTTTAACATGATTATTTATTTTGCACAGGCAGTTGCATAGGTACAGTAAGAAATGTGATTTCTTGTTAAAATGATCTTAATTGAAAAGTATAAATTCTTATGCTTTTGTTTAAGATAATGAATATTGAGTGTATAAATAGCACCACTTTTCATGTCATAGCTGATTTATGTGAGAAATTGTAAACGAGAGAGGAAAAAATAGTAATATTGCTCATTGTTTTCCCTATTAGCTGAAATTCTAGTTTATTACTTGCTGTTTTCTAGGTTTTAGTCACTCATTTGAAGAATTAAAGGAACAACTTTATAATATGTTGATTTTTGTTTAAGGCAGTAGTAGTAAGAAATTTTGTTTGCTTTTCTTGAGTTTATGTCTGAATGGATATATTTGCAATATTTACGACAGAAAATGGACTTCATTATTGATTCACTTAATGTATTTTGTTGATTTTCTTCCCCACAGTAGACTTGTGAAATCTGAAAGTTCAGATTCTCTTCCTTCTCAAACAAATGGCAGTAGTCATCATCACCACCGCGTAGTGACATCCAGAAGGCCGCAGGCAAAGCAGTCACTATCGATGACTGGCCCATGTGTCCCAGTCCCTAGCACGGAAACTGCAAAAGTCACTATAAAGGCCAGATCCAGTCAAAAAAGTGTGCCAGAATCAAAAACATCCAGGCGAATTAAAGAATCAAGATCACAGAAACACACACGGGTAGAGATTCATTTGCCATCTTTCTTTGTTCTGCAGAGGAAGAAATTCTGTCATTGCATTGTTTCAAAATGTATGACCTAAAAATTTTACGGATGAAATGAAATGATGTCTGGAATTTACTTTAAAATAATCCAGTGTGAGAGAGATGGTGAAAAACCACGTGGGGGTATAAATGAAACAGGGTTAGCCAGGAATTGATCATTGTTGACACTGGTTGGTAGATATATTCAAGATGGGAATTTGCTATAAAATATTCTCTTTACTTTTTTTGTTTGAAATTGTCCGTAATAAAAAATACACACCTGTCTATCCCTGCCGTGTGTAACTTTTACACTCAAATTTCAGTTCGGACCTCATAATTTGAATTCCTCTTTTAACAAAGTCCAGTCATTTTCTGGTAATATATATTATTGTGTGACCCGTGTGACCACGTAAATGTTGCAAACATCTTTTCTTCCTGGTCATCTTGTCTTAATGAGCTTACCTTTCTTCAGCACAGCTAAATGATTTTGTAATTCACAGAATTGAACCTTTGTACCTTTTCCAAGAAATATCAGTCATATATTATGTTCTATTCAAGATATTGAAAGAAGTAGTTACTGAAACCCTGAGGAAACACAGTATTACTGAGACTCATGAATGCTTCACTGCCTGCAGCCAACGTCTCTTTGAAATCTCAAAGTTCTATCTAAAGGTATTGTGTCTTCTCTGCTAATGCCAGAAGTTATCTAATGTTCCTATTTGACATAAAATGATGTTTAGTGAGTATTTCTTAAGTCGATAGCATATATAACTAGTTGTTAGATTTAAAAAAAAAAAATGGAGATGGAAAAATCAAAGCCAAAATATTTTGTATTTGGTTTATTTTATTTTAGTCCCTAAACATAGAAAACTACATTTTTGACTGGTATCCTCAATAGTTCTCCTACCCAGTAAGCTTCAGAACATGTTTAACTGGTAATTTTCTAGCGTAGTGGAAAGGCTGATGGACTTATTTCTGATTTTGACTTAGGTTGATAATAAGTTTCAGAAAATGTTTAGTTGGTAGTTTTCTAGTGTAGTGAAAAGGCTACTGGGCTTCTTTCTTGTTTTGGATCTATTATCAGCTAGTTGTAAGGCACTGGGCAGGTCGGTCACTCAGATGAGAGTTTAGTCCTAAAACTTAGATGGTGTTATCTTCAGCCTTAAGAGTTTTTGGCTTGAATCACAGCTATATGTGGATTTCCGGTTAAAATGACAGGTTAAAACCAACAAATAATGGAACAACCAGAACGGAAATAATGAAAATGTTCATGCATTGTGAAGAATGTAACCAATGCCACTGAACAACTTGTGTAGAAATTGTTGAATGAGAACCTAAACTGTTGTGTAAACCTTCACCAAAACACAATGAAATATTACTAACCAAAAAAATAATAAGCAGAAATGAGATTATGCAGTATACCTAAATGTTTGAAAAAACTTTTGCTATACATTTAATCAATCTATTACAGCATTTAGGAGGAACAAAAAAAAAAGAACAGAATTACATACATGGAAAACTAAGCAAATGTAAAAATAGACATATAATTATTAACTATAGGATAAACAAAACATTAGCTAAAGAGGAACTATAAATATAATATATTAATTAGTTCAGGATTGAACATCATTTACCTAATCAAAAATTGTGCCACTGTTATTGAGAGGATGAGAAGAGAGGTAGTGTGTACAAGACTGAATCCTCAACCACTTTAACTGGTATCAGTAGTTACTGTCTAAAATTGTTAAGTCACAAAATAACAGTGTAACCATATTTAAAATATGAAAGTATACATCAGAGAAATGGCTAAGGGAATTGAGAGTGGCTGCCTCTATGGAAGAAACCCTGGTGGCATAGTGGTTAAGAGCTACGGCTGCTAACCAATAGGTCAGCAGTTCGAATCCACCAGGCACTCCTTGGAAAGCCTTTGGGGTGGTTCTGCTCTGTCCTATAGGGTCACTATGAGTTGGAATCAACTTGATGGCAGTGGGTTTGGTTTTTTGGCCTCTATGGAGTGTAACCTGGAGGTACAGAGGAGGACTGCTTTTTTTTTTTTTAAATACAAGCCTCTTATTATAATTGGTGTTTCTGTTTGTTTTACTTTGTACATCTAATTTGATAAATATAAACATTGATTTTTAAAAAGTCAGAGATTTCAGTTTTCCTATGTCGTTCCATCTTTGTGGTGAAACAAAATAGCCAAAAAGAAGAGAGAGAGAGAGAAAAAAACTTCCTCTGAAAAATAAATGCAAACTGTGTATTCATTTCCTGAATAGTGAAGTAATAATACTCAGTTAAGAGTAGGGTTTATATTAGGTCAGCATTATGGGAACTATGAGATGAGAGCTACATGGATTTATGTATATATATGTGTATGTATAGTCTATTACTTTGATTTTTGTAGTATTAATACTTGTAGAATGACTTAGGATAATCTCAACTTTATTTAATAATAATGAGTTGTTCTGTGTAATTTAATGTGCACATTATAAAATGCTGTATTTTTTTATATTTAGGATCTTAAAACTTCAAGGGGTCTATTTGAAGAAATGAAGAAAACAGCAAACAACAACGTTGTACAGGCAAGTGAATTATTCCCAAGAAACTACACTAAATCAAATTGGTGTTTTATTTCAGGGCAGCTATGATTGTATTTGCTAACCGAAAGGTCAAGAATTCAAATCCACCAGGCACTCCTTGGAAACTCTATGGGGCAGTTCTACTGTGTCCTATTAGGTCACTATGAGTCAGAATCGACTCAAAGACAACGGGTAGTAGGTAGTAGTAGGTTGCTGTAGTAGTAAAAGAATTTCTAAAATGATGTTAAGAAAGAAAAGGGAAAAATAAATAATCCAAAGAACTGGAAAAACTAATCAGTTTTGATAAGCAGTTTTCAATGTTTGGTTTAATTTCTTTCTAGTAACACTCTTTAAACATATTTTCAAATAAAAGTGAAAAAATGGAGCAGAATCTTCATTTTATCCAGTGAGAACAATATTGTACTCTACATTAGAAATTCAGCAAAAAGTGTTCTTAAGTTAGAACATAAAATGTGTTTTAAGTTAAAGATTTGGACATGTTCATTTTAAAACTGCCACTGTCGCTTCCTTAAAAAGCTAGAAATAGAAGTACCATACGATCCAGCTATACCGCTCCTTGGAATATATCCTAGAAAAAGAAGAGCCATCACACAAATAGATATACGTGCACCCATGTTCGTTGCAGCACTGTTCACAGTAGCAAAAAGATGGAAACAACCTAGGTGCCCATCAACGGACAAATGGATAAACAAATTATGGTATATCCACAGAAAGGAATACTACGCAACGATAAAGAACAACGATGAAGCCATGAAACATCTTATAGAGGAAGCTGGAGGTCATTATGTTGAGTGAATTTAGTCAGTCACAGAAGGATAAATATTGTATAAGACCACTATTATAAGAGCTCAAGAAAGGGTGTAAACACAGAAGAAAACATGCTTTGATTGTTACGAGGGTGGGGAGGGAGGGTGAGGGTTATTTACTAACTAGATAGTAGATAAGAATTATCTTAAAGGACAACACACACAACAGGGGAAGTTAGCCCAACTGGGGTAAACCAAACCTAAGAAGTTTCCTGAATACAGTCAAACACTGTGAGGGACAGAGTAGCAGGGGTAGGGGTCTGGGGACCATGCTTTCAGGGGACATCTAGGTCAATTGGCATAACAAAGCTTATTAAGAAAATGTTCTGCACCCTACTTTGGTGAGTGGCATCTGGGGTCTTAAAAGCTTGCAAGCGGCCATCTAAGATGCGTCAATTAGTCCCAGCCACCCGGAGTAAAGGAGAATGAAGAACACCAAGGACGCAAGGAAAGTAGTAGCCCAAGAGACAGAAAGGGCCACAGAAACCAGAGACTTCATCAGCCTGAGACCAGAAGAACTAGATGGTGCCTGGCTACCACTATGACTGCCCTGACAGGAAACACAACAGAGAGTCCCGGATGGAGCAGGAGAAAGGTGGGGTGCAGAACTCAAATTCTAGTAAGAAGACCAGACTTAATGGTCTGACTGAGACTGGAGCAATCCCGCAAAGCATGGCCCCTGGATTCTTTATCAGGCCAGAACCAAAACAATTTCCAAGGCCAGCTCTTCAGACAGGGATTGGACTGGACTGTGGGACATAAAGTGATACTTCTGAGGAGTGTGCCTCTTAGCTCAAGTAGGTACAAGAGACCGAATGGGTAGCTTCTGTCCGGAGGTGAGATTGGAAGGCAGAGAGGGTTAGGAGCTGGTTGAATGGACATGGGGAATCAGGGGTGAAAAGGAGGAGTGTGCTATCACAGTATGGGGAGAACAATTAGGGTCACATAACAATGTATATATAAATTTTTGTATGAGAAAAATAAATAAAACTGCCACTATGCTCTTTTGAGGTTTTAACACTATATTTTTCTATTATGTTTTTGATAGAAATATACCACAGTCATTTTTTTTTTCCTCCACCTAGGTGATTGAATGGGTATTAGAAAAGACAAGCAAGAAATGACCCAGAATCATGCTCTTTGGACAATTATAAATTGGATGGAACTATTATTTACTACTATCCTTATTTTGGAAATTATAAACATATGTCAAACTTTATTCAACAAACAGATGCTACATTTCTGAAGAATTTCATAAATATCCTATATTTAATATGGATGTTGAGATGTTCACTTAATGTATTTTAATTGTATACTTGTTTTATAGTTTCACTGTATTTTAATTTTTTCTACTCTTTTTGTGCATTAAGTGAAAGTTTACACACTGTATTTTAATTTTTAAAGTTAATACTTTATATGTTTAAATTTTTACTTTGCTTGTTTAATTATTACAATAAATATACAAAATATTTCTTTACTTCTTGGGTAGAATGTTTCTGTTGTTAGAACTACTTAAATTCCTCCATGTCAAGTTGATACGTTGCCAAGGATTTCTCCAAAGTGTTCCAACACCATAGTTTATTGAATTGCTCCCAATTTAGAAACTACTGGCAAACAAATCCACACAGGTAGCTATTTTCCCTTACCCCTCATTGTTGAAGGTATTAAAGTTTATTTGGAATCAAAATGAAGAAAGGGCAGAAATTGTGAAAATAAGACATACAAAAATGACTCTGATATAGACTCCCAGATAAGACTGTTCCTCACTCAAAAATACCTTTTCCTGTGGTAGAAAATTTGGAAAATATAAAGCAGAGTGGACAAAATTACCAACATTCTTCCCACCATTTAGAGGTAACTACTGTTAATATTTTTAAAAATATATATGCAGCTATTTTTAAAATTGGGGTAATACTATATGTGTGTCTGTAAGTTTATAGCCTGCTTTTCACTTAACATGTCCCAAATTTTATATCGTCATTATTTTAATGACTGCATAATATGGATGAACCATAATTCATTTAACCAGTCCCCCATTGTTGGACATTTAGATCCAGTTTTTCCCTATTACAAATAAAACGTTAATGAATCTTACTTGGTATAACTGTTTAGATGTGGAATTTGTGGATCTTAAGCTGGACAATGAATAAGGAAGACTGAAGAAGAATTGATGCATTTGGATTATGATGTTGGCAAAGAATATTGAATATACCATTGTTGTGGACTGAATTGTGTCCCCCAAAAATGTGTGTCAACTTGGGTAGGCCATGATTCCCAGTGTTGTGTGGTTGTCCTCCATTTTGTGATCTGATGTAATTTTATGTGTTGTAAATCCTAACTTCTTTGATGTTAATGAGGCAAGATTAGAGGCAGTTAACAAGGCAGGGCACAATCTACAGGATTAGGTTGTATTTTGAACCACTCTTTTGAGATTTAAAAGACAAAAGCAAAGAGGAGAGGGACCTCATTACCACTAAGCAAGAAGAGCCAGAAGCAGAATATGTCTTTTGGACCTGGGGTCCTTGCACTGAGAAGCTCTTAAACCAGGGGAAGACTGATGACAAGGACTGTCCCCCAGAGCCGACAGAGAAAGCCTTCCTCTAGAGCTGGCACCCTGACTTTGGACTTCTTGCCTCCTAGACTGTGAAAGAATAAATTTCTGTGTGTTAAACCCATCCACTTGTGGTATTTCTGTTAAAGCAGCACTAGGTAACTAAGACAACTATGAACTGCCAGGATGAACAAGTCTGTCTTGGAAGAAGTACAGCCAGAATGCTACTTAGAAGCAAGGATAGTGATTGGTCCCTCCTGATAACATTTCACGTACCTTGGATGTGTTATCAGGAGGGACCAGTCCCTAGAGAAGGACATCATGCTTGGTAATGTAGAGGGTCAGCAAAAAAGAGGAAGACCCTCAGCAAGATAGATTGACACAGCGGCTGCAACAACGGGCTCAAACATAGTAACAATTACGAGGATGGTGCAGGACCAGGCAGTGTTTTGTTTTCTGTTGTTCATAGGCTCGCTATGAGTTGGAACCGACTTGACAGCACCTAACAATAGCAACAACAAGGTTTTTGGTAAATACTTCAAATCGCCTTCCTGAGAGATGGATTTGCACTCCCACTAGCAGAGTCCCCTTTTCCTTTTTTTATGATTGAAAATTGTAAGGTTGAGTATTTGTTTTTAATAAGTTGGCAGCTCTGTTTATTCCTAGCTTTTGCCCTGAAGCAGAATAAGAAAACTATCTAGTTGCAAACATGGGCTTTTTCTTACTGAAGAGAAAGATTTTCCTGAGGGCAGAGTCCAGAAGAATAATGGAGTAGGGAACCATTCCTAGACAGCAGAAATGGACCCTATTCAAAGAACATTCCCTGTTTCTGACTTAGGGAGAAGTGGTGACATGTGTCCAGCTGGATCTCAGAATTACTACGGACTAATGACTGGTCACTTAATGAAAGGGAGTGTCTATTACCGTTATCCTGCTTCTGCCTCATCACTGTGTATTGAATGTATGGATGGAAGTTAACTTGTTTTTGTAGGTCACAGTATTCTAGATTAAGAAAATCCCTACTTTAGGAATCTCATGCCTACCTGGACCAGGTAAATGTCATGAAATACTGGACTTTGAGGTTGTTTTAGGAGGCAAGCATATTTTGCATGTGGGAGGAATGAAAATAATTGTGGCTAGCAGATGGAATATTGCAGGTTAAATACAGCCACAATGCTTTGACCTCCTCCTATCAAGAGGTAGAGTCCATTTCCCCAGCCCTTGCATCTGGGCTGCCACAGTGACTTGCTTTGACCAACCAAATGTGGCATAGTGACACAGTGTAAGCTGGAAGCTAGGTCTTGAGGACCTTGCAGCTTCTGCTTTGTTCTTGTAGAACGTTGCTCTGGATCTGCCACATAAGGGAGCCACTCTGGCTTACTAGAAGATGAGAGGCCACATGGAATAGAACTGAGGTGCCCCAGCACCAACAACTAGACATGTGAGAGAGACATCTTGAATCTTCCATTCCAGCAGACCCTCCAGCTGAATACAGCTGCGTGAGTGAGCTTAGGCAAAACCAGCAAGAAACTGCTCAGCCAACCCACAGAATCAAGGAAGAGTTGTCTTAAACCACTAGGTTTTAAGGTGATTTGTTTTGCCTAGGAGCGTTGGTGGTGCAGTGGTTAAGTACTCAGCTGCTAATGGAAAAGTAGAATGTTCTACCCTGTCCTATAGGGTTGCTATGAGTCAGAATTTACTCGACGGCAAAGAATTTGTTTTTAGTTTTGTTTTGTTTTGCCTCAACGTTAGAGTCCATTCACATCCAGGAATTCATTGAAGTGCAAGAAGTACAAGAAGGAAAGTTTTAAATAGTTGCAAAACACTTCATTTGTTAAGGCTGTAGTTCGAAGAAGCTTATTGTTTACACTAGATTTCCCTTTCTCATGAGACCCAGAAAACTTGCAGAGGAACAAGTTTCTTCACCCCTTTCTCAGGTGAGATTCTGAAGCAGGAAGCTGCAATTAATGAGGCTTTTTTGAAGGTCTTTCCTCGGGCATTGTCTGAGTTCTTGGGAGGAAATACGCGATATTCATCCAAATAATTGAAAGTTGCTGTAAATATAACTGGCTTTGTTTCTTGAAAAGAACAAAGTTTTCTTTCACATTGCCAGGCCCTGGTCCACGCCAAAGTAGAATCACAGCCATCAGGCCAAGCATGAAAGCAGGATCGTCTCTGTGAGATGGTAGTCGGTGTTGGAGGCTTTGTCCAGGGATGCCTTTTCCTCCCTGCATTGCCAAGACAGTGGATAGCCTGGGCATCAGTTCCCTTTTCTGCCTCTTGCTCCCTTAAGGCTTCCTTCTTTCTCTCCAGCCCCATCTCTTCCTTACTCTTCTTGCTGTGACACTGTCTGAGCCATGTTCTCTGTATACAGTTTTAGACTCTTCCAAGAAAAAACCCTATGTTTGGCCAAGGAAACAAAGCAGATAAAGAGTAAAAGGCCAAAATAAAGGTCCCCGCTGCTTTCTGTTACTGCACAGATGTGATTCCATACCCTCCTTAGACACGGTTTAGTCATTTTAATGAGGCTCTAGACTTGCTTCCCCTAGTGACGTCAAATTTAATGTGATTTAGAGGACCAGAAGTGATAGGGTAATGATTTCTGTCACATATTCAAATAGTTCTGTTATTCAAGATTTTATGAACAGGTTAAAAATATTAACCATTATCAGAAAACCATGCGTTAAAAAAAAACTTTTTTAAAAAAAGAATTTAAAAATGCATACTTGAGAAGTTCATGTCATAGAAAGGTATTAAGGTAACACTCTCCCCTTTCCATGACCCCCGGTCCCAATTCCCAGGAGTCACTGATGGTAAGAGACTTTTAAAAAAATGTATCCATCCAGACATTTTTATAGAAGTGCAAGAGTGTTATACATGTGTCCCATGTTTCTCACCTGATCAGACCCAATGCCCCCCCGTATTTTTAATTGTTGTGCTTTAAGTGGAAGTTTACAATTCAAGTCAGCATCTCATACAAAAATTTATACATACATTGTTATGTGACCCCAGTTGCTCTCCCTGTACTGTGATAACATACTCCTCATTTCCACCGTGGATTTCTCGTGTTCATTCAACCAGCTCCTGTCTCTTTTGCTTTCTCATCTTGCTTCCAGACAGGAGCTGCCCATTTAGTCTCATGTATCTACTTGGGCTAAGAAGCATACTCCTCATGAGTATCACTTTATGTCTTATAGCCCAGTCTAATCCTTGTCTGAAGGGTTGGCCTCAGAAATGGTTTTAGTTTTGAGCTGATAGAGAGTCCAGGGGCCACATCTTCTGGGGTTCCTCCAGTCTCAGGCCATTAAATCTGGTCTTTTAACTAGAATTTGTGTTCTGCACCCCACTTTTCTCCTGCTCCATCAGGGACTCTCTGTTGTGTTCCCTGTCATGGTCATTGGTGGTAGCCAAGCACCATCCAGTTCTTCTGGTCTCAGACTGATAAAGTCTCTGGTTTATGTGGCCCTTTCTGTCTCTTGGGCCAATACTTCCCTTGTGTATATGGTGTTCTTCATTCTCCTTTACTCCAGGTGGGTTGGGACCAATTAATGCATCTTAGATGGCCACTCGCTAGCTTTTAAGACTCAGAGACCACTCACCAAAGTGGGATGCAGAACATTTTCTTAATAAATTTTGTTATGCCAATGGAACTAGATGTCCCCTGAAAGCATGGTCCCCAGACCCCTACCCCTGCTACTCTGTCCCTTGAAGTGTTTGGTCATATTCAGGAAACTTCTTACCTTTGGTTTAGTCTAGTTGTGCTGACTTCCCCTGTAGTGTGTGTTGTCCTTCCCTTCAACTAATTCTTGTCTACTATCTAGTTAGTGAATACCCCTCTCCCTCCCTTCCCCACTCTCGTAACCATCAAAGAATGTGTTCTTCTGTGTTTAAAACTTTCCTTGATTTCTTCTAATAGTGGTCTTCTACAATATTTGTCCCTTTGCGACTGACTGAATTCATTCAGCATAATGCCCTCCAGATTCCTCCATGTTATGTTTCACAGCTTCATCATTGTTCTTTATTGTTGCATAGTATTCCATTGTGTGAATATACCATAATTTGTTTATCCATTCATCCGTTGATGGGCACCTAGGTTGTTTACGTCTTTTTGCTATCATGAACAGTGCTGCAGTGAACATGGGTGTGCATATACCTATTCATGTAACGGCTCTTATTTCTCTAGGATATATTCCAAGGAGTGGGATTGCTGGATCGTATGATACTTCTATTTCTACCTTTTTAAGGAAGTGCCAAA